CGGAGAAACAGCTCAGCTTAGAGACACCTCTCATTGCACTAATGGACCTTGAGATGCGTGGTCTGCTTACCGAGTGTATTTCCTCCTCATCTCTCCTGACACAAATGCCAAAACAACAGCAGCGCCGAAATTTCAGCGACTGCGGTCCCGCAGCTTTTGTTTACAAGAAGCAAATGCAACAGCATATTCATGAACACAAGCGCCAAGTCTCTTCACTGCTCGTAAATCTCCTTCTGCGGGGTTCTCCTGACCCAACGCGACCTTATCTTAACCTCAGTTGTCTAGTAACCCTTCTGAGCAACGTGTGTTTGTTTGCCAGTGGTGATTGCATGGACGACTTTTGTTGTGCTCTTTTCAGTCTCAGCCCACTACTAAAACCCTCAAACTCCCATGAGGTCGATCAGCTTATTCATAGCAGTTTCCAGTCAGTTGCCGTACCTTCTAGCTCCCTGGAAAACTATGGTGGTGACTCCTGGATTGCACTTCTGCCACACATACACTTTTCGATTGTACCGGTTGAAGATGCGACACTGAATGGCATCTCTTTTCTGGATAAATTTAACCGAATTTCGATGGACATTGACATTCCCTGGCCTCTAAGTGTCTTAGTTCAGAGTGAGCACATTGGCGTATATGAGGGAGTTTTTAAGTTTATCTTAATAGTAAGTTGACGTCGCCTGTTTGTTTATTTTTAATTTAACTATTGCATCCCACATCAGCGAACTCAGATCCCCGCAGAAGGCAATAGGTCTACTCATTTGCCGATGATTGCCTAACAGACAGTTGCTAGTATTTTCTCGAGCCTTCGAAGATGACCTAAAATATACGATTATCTGGCTTATGAGTTTATCTTGTTATCTCTACCAATTTCCCGGGTTTTACTCCAACTGTCATTATATTTTGCGAAAGCACGTGTTACTAAAAAGATTATGGCAGCATGTTAATTTTTACTGTAATATTGGGCTACCACCTATTACTATTAAATACTGAAGTAAATACTTAACCTACTAGGACAAGCTTATTGCACCTTCTATTCAACCGAAGCACCATTGTGGTCCACGAAACGCTGTTACTTCTTTCACTCTCTCGAAGTAATTTTTACTACGTCGGTTGATCATGTGAGCCTGCGAATCATCTATGCCAGTTTGAAGAGAGGCTAGGAAAGGCATCAACTAGACCGCTTCTTGTGTGGGAACTTCCGCAAGAGGAGTCTTTTTATTTACCAGCTACACGCTAACCAGCGCAAGCATATTAATTACACGTGGCTTCACCACTCCTAATAAATGAGTAGCCGTTCATGTTTACTCTTGAATATTTCGCCTACAATTATGTTACTAGCCTCTTTTTGAATTTTCCTTCTGTTTCGATGGTTTTGTTAACCACTTTGTAACCAATAGGGAGTTCAAATTAGTTCGCTTATCTCTCTCTTAATAGAACTGAATTGAAGGTGCATTTGGTCACAGGATGTGCTATTCAGTATAGACTGCTAGTTAATCAGTAATACTTCTTAGTTGCTCGTCACGCCCTATGGATTCTGGGACAAGACTCAGTTAAGAACCTGCAACAGTCAGTGTTTTTTTCTCTCACCAAACTGACAATAACAGATCATTACGGTGTCAAAGTACGTCGTGGTCCGTGTATGATGGGCCTTGATTACGCTAAGGACACAGCACAGACTGAATGCGATGTCCTCAACAGACACAAAGGCATGTGAGGTGGGTCTTTAAGTCATCTCCTCCAGAACAGACACCATAGTGTAAAATTTTGCACCTCGAGAGATCTGCTCGGTAAT